ATAAATGAAATAGAAACAAACAAAACAATAGCAAAGATCAATAAAACTAAAAGCTGGCTCTTTGAGAAGAGAAACAAAATTGATAAACCATTAGCCAGACTCATCAAGAAAAAGAGGGAGAGGACTCAAATCAATAGAATTAGAAATGAAAAAGAAGTTACAAAGACCCCACAGAAATACAAAGCATCCTAAGAGACTACTACAATCAACTCTATGCCAAAAAAATAGGCAACCTGGAAGAAATGGACAAGTTCTTAGAAAGGTATATCCTTCCAAGACTGAACCAGGAAGAAATAGAAAATATGAACAGACCAATCACAAGTAATGAAATTTAAACTGTGATTAAAAATCTTCCAAAACACAAAAGTCCAGGACCCGATGGCTTCACAGGTGAATTCTATCAAACATTTAGAGAAGAGTAACACCCATCCTTCTCAAACTCTTCCAAAAAATTGCAGAGGAAGGAACACTCCCAAACTCATTCTGTGAGGCCACCATCACCCTGATACCAAAACCAAACCAAGATACTACAAAAAAAGAAAATTATAGACCAATACCACTCATGAATATAGATGCAAAAATCCTCAACAAAATACAAGCAAACAGAATCCAAGAGCACATTAAAAGGATCATACACCATGATCAAGTGGGATTTATCCCAGGGATGCAAGGATTCTTCAGTATACACAAATCAAACAATGTGATACACCATATTAACAAATTGAAGAATAAAAACCATATGATCATCTCAATAGATGCAGAAAAAGCTTTTGACAAAATTCAACACCCATTTATGATAAAAAAAAACTCTCCAGAAAGTGGGCATAGAGGGCACCTACCTCAACATAATAAAGGCCATACACGACAAATCCACAGCAAACATAGATTTTAATGGTGAAAAACTGAAAGCATTTCCTCTAAGATCAGGTACAAGACAAGGATGTCCACTCTCACCACTATTATTCAACATAGTTTTGTGAGTCCTAGCCACGGCAATCAGAGAAGAAAAAGAAACTAAAAGACTACAAATTGGAAAAGAAGTAAAACTGTCACTGTTTGCAGATGACATGATACTATACATAGAGAATCCTAAAGATGCCACCAGAAAACTACTAGAGCTCATCAATGAATTTGGTAAAGTAGCAGGATACAAAATTAATGCACAGAAATCTCTTGCATTCCTATACACTAATGATGAAATATCTGAAAGAGAAATTAAGTAAACACTCCCATTTACCAGTGCAACAAAAAGAATAACATACCTACAAATAAACCTACCTTGGGAGACAAAAGACCTGTATGCAGAAAACTATAAGACACTGATGAAAGAAATTAAAGAAGATATCAACAGATGGAGAGATATACCATGTTCTTGTATTGGAAGAATCAATATTGTGAAAATGATTCTACTACCCAAAGCAATCTACAGATTCAATGCAATCCCTATCAAATTACCAATAGCATTTTTTACAGAACTAGAACAAAAAATCTTAAAATTTGTATGGAGACAAAAAGACCCCGAATAGCCAAAGCAGTCTTGAGGGAAAAAAACGGAGCTGGATGAATCAGACTCCCTGACTTCAAACTATTTTACAAGTAATCAAGACAATATGGTACTGGCACAAAAACAGAAATATAGATCAATGGAACAAGATAGAAAGCCCAGAGATAAACCCACGCACCTATGGTCAACTAATCTATGACAAAGGAGGCAAGGATATACAATGGAGAAAAGACAGTCTCTTCAATAACTGGTGCTGTGAAAACTGGACAGGTACATGTAAAAGAATGAAATTAGAACACTCCCTAACACCATACACAAAAATAAACTCAAAATGGATTAGAGACCTAAATATAAGACCGGACACTATAAAACTCTTAGAGGAAAACATAGGAAGAACACTCTTTGACATAAATCACAGCAAGATCTTTTTTGATCCACTTCCTAGAGAAATGGAAATAAAAACAAAAATAAACAAATGGGACCTAATGAAACTTCAAAGCTTTTGCACGGTAAAGGAAACCATAACAAGATGAAAAGACAACCCTCAGAAGAAAAGACAGCCCTCACAGAAAATATTTGCAAACGAACCAACAGACAAAGGACTAATCTCCAAAATATATAAACAGCTCATGCAGTTCAATATTAAAATAACAAACAACCCAATCCAAAAATGGGCAGAAGACCTAAATAGACCTTTCTCCAAAGAAGACAAACAGATGGCCAAGGAGCACATGAAAAGCTGCTCAACATCACTAATTATTAGATAAATGCAAATCAAAACTACAGTGAGGTATCACCTCACACCAGTTAGAATGGGCATCATCAGAAAATCTACAAACAACAAATGATGGAGGGGGTGTGGAGAAAAGGGAACCCTCTTACACTGTTGGTGGGAATGTAAATTGATACAGCCACTATGGAGGACAGTATGGAGGTTCCTTAAAATACTAAAAATAGAATTACCATATGATCCAGCAATCCCACTACTGGGCATATACCCAGAGAAAACCATAATTCAAAAAGAGTCATGTACCACAGTGTTCATTGCAGCAGTATTTACAATAGCCAGGTCATGGAAGCAACCTAAATGCCCATCGACAGATGAATGGATAAAGAAGACGTGGTACATGTATAATAAAATTATTTCAAAAATGGAATATTACTCAGCCATATAAAGGAACGAAATTGGGTCATTTGTAGAGATGTGGATGGATCTAGAGATTGTCATACAGAGTGAAGTAAGTCAGAAAGAGAGAAACAAATATCGTATATTAACGCATATATGTGGAACCTAGGAAAATGGTACAGATGAACCGGTTTTCAGGGCAGAAATTTAGACACAGATGTAGAGAACAAACGTATGGACACCAAAGGGGGAAAGCGGCAGTGGGTGGTGGTGGTGCTGTGATGAATTGGGCGATTGGGATTGACATGTATACACTGATGTGTATAAAATGGATGACTAATAAGAACCTCCTGTATAAAAAAGAAAAAAAAAGATTTGTTCATATGGTGGTATAAGTAATCCCTCTCTTGTATGTACGTTGTAATTATCTTTTCTCAATTTGTCTTTTCTATTTTGCCTGGCATTTTACTGTTTCTATAATCATATGTATGATTTGATTTTTAAAAAAAGTAGCATAGCTCAGCTCTAAGATATACAAAAAAAAAAAAAAAAAGTCTAATAATATATTTTATAGTCCAAGTTCTCCAATGATTCTGTACTTGGCAAAAAAAAAAAAAAAGAGTTCCCATATTCAAGTAATTTTTAAAATCCCAATGATCTGAAATCTAAACAATCTGAACAATATATTTTAGGAAGAGATTGGTGAAATGGGTATATAAAGCAAATTTGGACTGGGGAATCTCTTCAAGAGTTAGGTGATTAAGTAGTATTCTCTTGGGGAAACGGCATTTTGAAGGATTCAGACCTTTAAACAAGTGTCTGAAGGAACTTTTACTTATTGAAGTGTCTTCGTTTAATGTCATCAGAAAGATTAAGCAAGAGGACAGCAGCCCAAATAATCATTAGCTTGCAGCAAGGTATCATTGTTTACAAAGTTTGTTGGGTTTTACTGAGTCTAACATTTACAGGAGCAAAGAATTTGCATATCAGGCTGAATAATTTCTAAAAGAAACAGAGCAACATCAGTGAAGCAGTCAGATATCAGAGACACGTTTAAGAAGGGCTCAGAAAATAAGTTCTGAACCTCCTACCGCTTCAGCTTCAGTTCCCCTCGTGACAATGATAGCTTCATAACCACAGGGGTCATGACCCTCTAGATAGTGAGGCTAAATGGACTCACTTGATAATTAGTGCAGCTAGAACAGCTACGAAAATTTATGTTAAATTTATTTTAGTGAAGAAGAGAATTTTCTTAGCATCAATATGTAAAACTCTAATAATTCAACAATTTAAGTGAAAAATAAGACAAGATAATTGCAGTCTAATTTACAAATATAACAATTTTTTTTAAGTTTCCTGAATAAGTATGCTAACCTCTTGTGAGTGGATTCATTATTTAGAATCATCTTTACAGTATTAGAGAAGACAATGTGAAAATTATTTTATTGATGGATTGAAATATATTTCTTGTATTTTTATTTATCATATTTCATGCGATACTTTATTTTTAAATGTTTATTTATGTCTGCAGTGAAATACATATTAAAAGATCCTATATCATGTGGTCGCTTATTTGTGGAATCTTAAAAAATGATACAAATGAACTTATCTACAAAAACAGAAACAGAGTCACAGACATAGAAACCAGACTTACAGTTACCAAAGGGGAAAATGGGGGAGTGATAAATTAGGAGCTTGGGATTAACAGATACACACTACTATAAATAAAATAGGTAAACAACAAGGGCCTACTGTGTAACACAGGGAACTATATTCAACATCTTGTAATAAACTATAAAAGAATCTGAGAAAGAATAGATTTATATATATATATATATATATATATATATATATATATGTATAGCTGAATCACTTTGCTGTACACCTGAAACTAACACAACCTTGTAAATCACCTAGACTTCAATTTAGAAAGAAAGAAAGAGAGAAAAGATAAAACATATCAATAAGTAACCCTCCCCCGCAAGAAAGATACTATACCAAACATAAAACAGTGAAATTAAGAAGCTTTGGGTCTCTTAGAATAATGACTAATGTTCTGAAGCAAGTGTTTTCTGCAAAGGACCAGACAGTAAATGTTTTAGAATCTCTGCCACAATTACTAGACACTGCTGTGTAGCACAAAAGCAGCCTTAGCCATTATGAAGACCCATGAGCATGGCTGTGCTCCAGTAAAACCCGATTTACTAAATCATACAGCAGGAATTTTTGGCAGCCCTCCTGCAGGGTCACAGTTTGCTGACTGCCCCCCGCCCCCCAAAATACCAGATTTTTTCCGTGTATTTCCCCTTCCTCTCTGATACAACCTGGTAAAATAGCTACAAAGCTTAATCAAGGGTCTGATCCACATACCTTTTCCCCAGGAATTCCAGGAGTACCCAATTCACCTTTAAGACCAACTGCACCCTGAAATATAGAAATGCTCATTAGGAGTTTTTTCAAAGGTGTATTAATTGCTAAGGTTGTCATAGATGAGTTGCTTTTGCTCACACCAAAGTGTGTGCCGTTAAGTTCTTTTTTCCTATTATTCACAAGTCATTAAACTATACTTTTGACAATTAATAAATTATCAGAAAGTTAATAATAAATATCAGAGTGATAATCAAAACTCAAACTAGACATTCTCCACACAGACATATGCAGTACAGCTTTCTCATTTCTTTTATATTTATCAAAGGTTAAGGAATGATTCTATTGCTGTTACTTCAACTAGTACCTGGTACTTTCAATTCAAATAAGTCATGAAATTTCAGGCTCCAAGGTACCCATATTTTTATATTTAGTGTGCCTGACCTTCCATTACATCCTCCAGGAAAACACTCCCAAGCTGGGTCAATCCTTTTGTCAGTTTCCTTGCTCATCCACGTTAACTGGAAAAATCTGCTCAGTGAAGCTGATGGGCTACCTTTATCTGCCTTTATGGCTCTTTTACAAATTCAGTCTAATAAATTTATCCTTGAGACAGTGGACAATAATGTAAACTTTCTGAATGAATTTCTCTACTACTAATGCTTGGTAGAGATTAATCAACACATTAGAATTCTATGAGTATATAATACCATTATTACCCTGATATTACCTATTAATTTCAGATTTAAGGCATACAAATAAATGTCAACTTCAAGTTCCTATAGATTAGATGAGATTGTATCAGATGGAGTAAAATTACAAAAACAAAAAAGAACCTGTCAATTAATCCAATATGCTCAATATTGGATTAGAAAGGATGAAGAAATATTCTTTAATTCTCATATTGACATAGACAAAAATTCAAAACCATAAATATTAAATCTTGCTTCTTTGAGGTTATTACTAAGGGAAAAATATTCCTTCTTTTAAAAAATTATGAACATATTTTGATTCAATTATTTTTTATTGGTGTGGTGTGTCTTCAGAACGGGCACATGAGTAATGTCACACTGGAAACAAAATAAAGGGAAATTCACCAGTAATCTCTGGGTTAACACACTAGACCACTCAAAATGGAAACTTCCATACAGTGAGATTGGAAAGTAGGGGTAGTAGAAAAAAAACAATACCAAAGTTTTTGACTATAGAGTCAAGTAAGTTAACATTTCATCTTAAATTATTTTGATTTTCTCTAAAAGTATACCTACAAAGCAATCATTTCATAAAGCCTACACTTTTCGGGAAATTAACTTGATATGGAAGGTAATAATACAAAACTAAACTGGAAAATTATTCCCCAAATAGACCTCAGATCATACTCCTCCTTAGGTTCAGGAACATAGAAATTGAGCTGCTATGTTATAAAACTGAGGGAATTTCAACTCTGAAGTGGGTGAAGGTATTAGCAAGGGTATTAAAGAACTGAGAAAGTAATGTAGTTGCTAAGTAATTAGGCTGCTAACCACATCTGCTAAGAAAAGGGAATTAAAAGATTCAGAAAATTACAATCATTGAGTCTAAATGAAAGAAAAGTATTAATTATTATTTCAAATAATGTCATCCAGAGTTTAGTCTTGGACAGAGGGCATGGTTAGGATGGTCTGATTGGGTGGCCTGATACAGAATATTCATCACAGCTATGTGTTTATAAGCAGTGGTTGAATCTCAAACTATCTCCATGAAAGGGGGTCATAAGCTTTATGAAGAAAAAAGCAGTAAATCAGACTAATGAAGCATCACAGTGTGGATGAGAAAATAGGCAAATAAACACTAAGTCATCCCAAAACTTGTGGCTTTTCTCCAAATATTTCTGATTCATCATTAACTAGTGGGTAACATCAAGCTAAAACTAATCAGGTCACTATGTAAATTTTTTTTAATGCTTTTGTTTGTAAAGGAAAAAGTGTAGTAGAACATTAGTGAATAATATAACAGTTCTTAACCATTTAGCTTATCTAGCTCCTTCTCTGCAAACTGACTCTTCGCCCTGCTTGGCAAGGTCCACTGGGCAACTGGGGCAGAGAATTCACAGGTTCTAGAAACAGCTGAGTTGATGACTTAGACTTTCCTTGTGGTAGAATATTCATTCATTCAACGTATTTTTAGCTCCTATTATGTGCTGTTCTATGTATGGTGCTCAAGGAACTCATATTCTAGTGGGGGAATAAATGGAGGTATAATGATAACACGTCAAGTGACGATAAAAGTGCTAAGAAAAGAAAGACAGAGGTGGAATGAAGGGATGCTTTTTACACAGAGATGTCAGAAGAGGCCTTTCTATTTTTTTTTAATTAATTTATTTATTTTTTGGGGGGGCTGTGTTGGGTCTTCGTTTGTGTGTGAGGGCTTTCTCCAGTTGCGGCGAGCGGGGGCCACTCTTCATCGCGGTGCGCGGGCCTCTCACTGTCCCAGCCTCTCCCGCTGCAGAGCACAGGCTCCAGATGCACAGGCTCAGTAGTTGTGGCTCACAGGCCTAGCCGCTCCGCGGCATGTGGGATCTTCCCAGACCAGGGCTCGAACCTGTGTCCCCTGCATTGGCAGGCAGATTCTTAACCACTGCACCAACCAGGGAAGCCCCCAGGCCTTTCTATTTTAAAGTGATTTATGAGAGAGAGCCTAAATGATGTGAAGGAAAGAGAAATGTGAATATCTAGAACATTCCAGGTATATGTAGCCTGGTGCAAAGACCTTGGAACAGACATGAACAAGGGGAGAGTGTAGGAGCCACTATAGGGAGGGGTAGCGGGGTAGGGAGAGCTCTACACATTATGGGAAGTCTTGCGGCCCGTGGTTAGAGCTTCAGTGTTATCTTGAAGGGAATAGGAAGCCATGGGTGGGTTTTGATCCAGGTGGGACAAGATTTACTTACAGGATTATTCAGAACAGCTGTCTAACTCATAGTGTACAGGCATAAATAAAGTAAAATTTGCTCTTTATAAAGCTGCCACAGATGACAGTAAGGATTCTCAAAACGTAAGACCTGGGCTTCCCTGGTGGCACAGTGGTTGGGAGTCCGCCTGCCAGTGCAGGGGATGCGGGTTCGTGCCCTGGTCCGGGAAGATCCCACATGCCGCGGAGCAGCTGGGCCCATGAGCCATGGCCGCTGAGCCTGCACGTCCGGAGCCTGTGCTCCGCAACGGGAGAGACCACGACAGTGAGAGGCCCGCGTAACGCAAAAAAAACAAAAAAAAAGTAAGACCTTCAGAAATACTGTAATGAGTAATACATAATTTGGAAAGAGATTTGGGTACTGTATTCTCAAAACTTTTCTCATTTTATCTCATTGGGCCAAAAGTAAAATGAGAAAAATGGGAATGAGAAAAATTAAATTTCAAAAACTAGCACACTATATCTAAAAAACATCTTGTCAAATAAGATTGGGAACAAAAGACACAGATTTGAATGAAATACTTAAATCACTGAGTGATCTTGTGAAGAAATGACTGTCATTAAATTATTAATATTTACTATAAGTGGAATATATCAATTCAAGGTTTTTATAACCTAAAACATGTAATCAATTGAAAATTGGAATTATTTCACAAAATGAAGATGTGTTTGGTTTTAATCAAACCACATATGAAACTAAACTCAATCTAAAAGGATTACCTCTACCTCTCCTTCAACACATGAACAATTACACTGTGTATAGAAAAGTAGAGGAAACATACATTTGCTAAGTATCTACTATGTGCCAGTTCCTGGTACTAAGTATTCCTTCTTCACAATAAGCTGTTGACTGAGTGTTATTAAGCATCATTTTCAAAGCAAGTAAGAGGTGGACAGGATTCAATCCCAAGTGATTCAGGCTCCAAAGTGGTACTCCTTCTAATATACTGTCCTACAGCCCCTAAATATACTCTCTTGGTCTTACACACCAAAAGAAAAACCTTGAGAACAACATCTGGTTGCCTTAGTAACACTGCACTTCTGATCATTTCACAAAATCAACTATTCAATATGCCTTAGAGCAAAAATGACTTTTGATCTTCAAACTATGCAGGCACTATTTCGTGCACCTGCTCTAATAATGAAACTTATATACAAGACTCAAACACAGGTGGAAAGTCATCTTTATTTACTGCCCATTAAAGTTGCAGGATCACGTAGTACAATAAGAACAGAAATGTACTCATCAACTCCTCAAAAGGAAAAATACATCCATGTTTATTAAAAGAAGCTGATCACATTCATGGCCATGGTCATCTGAAGTTGTATTTGCACATCAAGGATTATGCTGGTTTAATTAAATGCTGGTGCATGTACTGAAACAATAAAGGAAGTATAGTGATTATTTCCCTTCTTTTGTAGATTATCAATTTATTTTATCCCAGCTGTCATTGCCTTGCCACTAAAATCTCTTGCCATTGTGAATTTTGTGTAGGCTGGAAGTTAAAACAAATGTTATTATTTTTTAAATGTATCATAAATGGGAAATTATGTAATACATTATAACTTTAAGATACATTTTGTATATTTTATAGATTTGGCATACAATAAATTTTCTAATAATTATGATCTTTTTTATTTCTGTGGTATCAGTTGTACCATGCCCTCTTTCATTTTTTATTGTTTATTTGAGTCCTCTCTTTTTTTCTTGGTGAGTCTAGCTAGCTATAGGCTTGTCAATTTGTTTCTTTCTTCAGAAAACCAGCTCTTAGTTTCACTGATCTTCTCCATTGTATTTTTAGTCTCTATTTCATTTATTTCTGCTTTAATTTTTTCTTTTTCTTGCGGTACGCGGGCCTCTCACTGTTGTGGCCTCTCCCATTGCGGAGCACAGGCTCTGGATATACAGGCTCAGCGGCCATGGATCACGGGCCCAGCCGCTCCGTGGAATGTGGGATCTTCCCAGACCGGGGCATGAACCCACGTCCCCTGCATCGGCAGGTGGACTCTCAACCACTGCGCCACCAGGGAAGCCCTGCTCTAATTTTTATTTCCTTCCTTCTACTAACTTTGGACTTCATTTGTTCTTCTTTTGCTAGTTCATTAAGGTGTAAAGTTAGGTTGTTTATTCGAGCCTCTGATTGTTTCTTGAGATGGGCACTTATTTCTGTGAACTCCTCTCTTAGAACTGCTTTTGTTGCATCCCACAAATTTTGGTATGTTATATTTCCATTTTCATTTGTCTCAAGGTAATTTTTAATTTCTTTTTTGATTTCTTCTTTCACCCACTGGTTGCCCAGTAGCATGTTGTTTAATCTCTACATTTGTGAACGTTCCAGTTTCCTTCGTGTAATTAATTTCTAGTTTCATACCACTGTGGTCAGAAAAATATGCTTGATATAATTTCAATCCTTTTAAATTCATTAAGACTTGTTTCATGGCCTAAAATACGATCTGTTCTAGAAAATGTTCCATATATATTTGAGAAGAATATATTCTATTGATTTCAGAGGGAATGTTCTGTATATATCTCTTAAGTTCATCTGATTCATCTGTCATTTAAGGCTAGTGTTTCCTTATTGATTTTCTGTCTGGATGATGTATCCATTGGTGTAGTGGGGTATTAAAGTTTCCTACTATTATTGTATTACTGACTACTTCTCCCTTTAGGAGTGTTAATATTTGCTTTATATATTTAGGCACTTCTGGGTTAAGTGCATAAATACTTACAAATGTTACATCCTCTTGTTGGATTGACCCCTTTGTCATTATATAAAACCCACCTTTGGCTCTTATTACATTCCTTGTTTAAAGTCTATTTTGTCTGATATAAGTATAACTACTCAGCTTTCTTTTGATTTCCATTTGCAAAAGATTGCAATATCTTTTCCAATCCCTTCACTTTCAGTTTGTGTGTGTCCTTACATATAAAGTGAGTATTTTATAGGTAGCATATAGATGGATCTTCTTTCCAAACTGTATTATACAGTTATAGTAATTAAAACAGTGTGGTATTGGCATAAAAACAGACACATATATCAGTGGAACAGAGCAGAGAGCCCCAAAATAAACCCACACATATATGGTCAATTAATTTATGACAAAGGAGTCACAAATATATAATGGGGAAAGGATAGCCTCTTCAATAGTGTTGGCTATTTACAACAGCCAAGACATGGAAGCAACCTAAATGTCCATTGACAGATGAATGGATAAAGAAGATGTGGTACATATATAGAATGGAATAATACCCATAAAAAAGAATGAAATAATGCCATTTGAAGCAACACGGATGGACCTAGAGATTATCATACTAAATGAAGTAAGCCCTACAGAGAATGACAAATATCATATGGTATTGCTTATACATGGAATTTAAAATAGAATGATACAAATGAACTTATATGCAAAACAGAAATAGACCCACAGACGTAGAAAACAAACTTATGTTACCAAAGAGGAAAGGAGGGAGTGATAAATTAAGAGTTTGGGATTAATATATACACCCTACTATATATAAAACAGATAACCAACAAGGACCTACTGTATAGCATGTGGAACTATACTCAATATTTTGTAATAATCTATAAAGGAAAAGAATCTGAAAAATAATATATATAGATAACTGAATCACTTTGCTGTATACCTGAAACTGACACAACACTGTAAATCAACTATACTTCAATAAAAAATAAATAAAATTTTTAAAATAAATAAATAGTGAGTGCTGAGAAAACTGCAGAGCCACATGCAAAGAAGAATGAAACTTGACCACTATCTTATACCATACAAAAAAATTAACCCAAAATGGATTAAAGACTTGAATGTAAGATCTGAAACCATAGAACTCCTAGAAGAAAACATGGGCAGTAAGCCCCTCAACATACATCTTGGTGATAATTTTTTTGAATATGTCTCCAAAAGCAAAAGTAACAAAAGCAAAAATAAACAAGTGTGATCTCAAGGGCAAAAATAAATGCCCATCCCAAACCCAAACATTTCTTCTCAAGCACTTGCTTAGGTGCCAGAAGTTCCCATGGAAGGTACAATGGTGGACCCTCCTTTGGGAGTCAAAAGACCAAGGATGGCTTGGCTGAAGCTTGCTGTGCAACTTTGAGGGATCAGTCATTTCACAAACTTCAGTCTCTTACCTTTTAAAATAAGGAGTCCATGTAGATTATATAAATAATTTAGAACCATGGACTTCCAAGTTAAGGCATGAAAAGAATTTAAATCTGTTCTACCTTGGAAAGATAGTAAGAACATAATCAACTCCTAATCTTAGCAGGAATTAATCTACCTAGTTAGCTAACAAAAGACGTGACTCATAGAAAACAAACTTATGGTTACCAGAGGGAGATGCAGGGGGAGACAAATTAGGAGTTTGGGATTAACATATACACACTACTACATGTAAAACAGATAACCAACAAGGACCTACTGTATAGCACAGGGAACTATACTCAATGTCTTGTAATAATCTATAATTGAAAAGAATCTGAAAAAGAATATACTTATATATATAGATTCAGTTATATATATATATATATATATATATATCGCTGAATAACTTTGCTGTACTCCTGAAGCTAACGAAACATTGTAAATTAACTATACTTCAATTTAAAAAATGGTTAATAAAAAGACATGACTCAAAGAGTGAGGAATAGACAGTTCTGTTTTGAGAAAGACAGGGAGAAAGGAAAAGCATGGATCCTAGCTAGACTCAGATCTGCACAGGTCCAGCTCACCCACCATCTTCTCCAGCAAACTCTCTCCCCAGTCTCCCCAAGACTGTTACCTCAGGGCCCCTGCAACCCTCCTACAGCACCTAACTGGTGTGGCCTTTTAAGGTCTTCTCTCTCCTTCCAGATGTAAAATCCTGGAACATAGCCTATTCCTTCTATCCGCTCTAACACCCAGCACTAGGCCTTACGCAGAGCAGGTGCTCAACAAAGGTGACAAAGGTGACAACAAAGGGTGGGGAAGAATTTCAGTGGAGACCTATCAGCAGACAGAGAAACAGGAGTTCGTCACATACCTGGAGAAGAAAATGCTAAAGAAGGCTACAGCCCAACTAAAAGACACTTTCTTGCTTCACAGTTTTGCTTGTGGTTTACAGGTACATTTTAGGCCAGCCTTCCAGTTGGAATGCGAAAACAGACTTACATGCCAATATAGTCTTCCTTATTTCAGTGATCAGGACTTAAATACAGCCCTCGATAGGCTTTCACAGAAATGTGCATTTGTATGGGACACAGGAAAATGAGGTGGACACAATTGTGAAGTCACTTTTGGACGAATCCTCTTTTGTCCCGACAGCATTGGCTGGTGTCTTACCTGCTCTCCTTTGTCCCCCTTCTGTCCAGGTGAGCCTGGAACTCCCAGTAGTCCTGCTTCTCCCTGAGCAGAAATGAATTTTGTGTTATCAAATATTCTGTCACATTGAACTAAAAACACATAGTCTATAAATAAGAAGTTGACAATAGTAAGACAAAGCTTTCCTTTCCTGGGAGCTGATGCAGGTCCCTCCACTGGGAGGCCCTTCTCCCCTCATCATAAGGCTCACTACCCCCTATTCCAAACGCCTGCCAGCATCATCTCCTCCCCGAGACCTTCCATGGGCTGGAACATGCGCTCTACTCCACGCACCCTGCACCTCGTACTAGCCTTTCGCACGGAGCTTCCTGTGCAGGGCTATTCACTTGAGGAAATGTAAGCTTCCTCTAAACTCCCACCTCACCCTCCTCCCCACTACTCCAGCCAGGAAGGGAAGTGGCGCAGGATGCTCTAAGCCTAAGCATGCATCAAGTCATGGTGCCGGGGACCTTCTGCTCTAGAAGCTGGGGCAAGTTTCTCTTCCTTTTGTACTAGTGTAGAGGAAAGCCGTCCAGAGATCACTCAGGCCTCTAAGTGCCATTAACATCCACAAAAGACGTTTGTGTAGCCCAACGGGCCCAGGCTTCCTGACCAGGAAGGGGCAAGCAAAACAAATTCTTTGGGCAATAACAGAGCTCCTCTGCACTTCCTGTACAACTCACTGCAGAAAGGAGTGCTGGATGGATATCTGGGATACTGGACAGACACGGTCCCCACACTACGTAGAGTATCTTTGGGTATGCGTTGAAGGGCAGGCACTGCGTTTCCTTCATCTGTGAATTCGCAGAATTGAAGCCTATTCCTCACATGTGTTATGCCCTTGTACTTAACTGTTGTACAGGTGGTTCCTCTCTTTATTTTCTTCTACTTCCTACCCAGGAAAGAAGGTCAGATGGCCTCAGAACCCTCCAGATCGAAATCCAGGAGATCCTATCCCCAAGCCCCTTCTCTTAACCCACCCAGCGACTGAGAGGCCCAGGCACACTAACGGGAAAGACCAGGGCCACACCCGCAGGGCCTGGCTCACTGTGTGGCGTGGCTTTTCCGTGGGCATAGGGGAAAGGGAGCATACCTTGTTTGGAATGCACTGGCACTGGTCTGTAAGTTCCTGCTTTGCTGGCAGAAATGCAGACATTCTACTGGCATGAGCGGGTACCAATGATGCTGCAGTACTTCCAAAGCTATGCTGCTCTGGGCACTAAAATCCAGAAAGAGGCTTTAGGATATGGGGTCAATTCCAAACATGATGACATTCCCAGCACTGACTCTCACCAAGCTAGACATGACTGGTGTTTCTTGCCAGAACTTCCTTCTAATAACCAAAGGTTGACACCAACCTGTGAAAGTCCATAATGATTTTGCCCTTTCACTAGACCCCTACGTTTTTATTACACTGACAACACACTAGAAATGCATTAAATTGTTGGTTTTGGTGAGAAATTCTAAAGCTATTATAGGTGACTTTATGACAAGTACAGTAATATCAAACGTTTACAAGAATTACAATTGCTACAATAAAATACTTTATACAAATAACATTGGTATATGTGTTTTGGGAACAAATTTTAAAATAAAAGAACGTAATTTGAACTTTTAGAACATCGTTTAGTTCAAAAAGATGATGATAAAGGCATGTAAAAGTAGAAAATAAACTCTTTTTATGCTCTAAGGTAGTATGTATTTAATCAAAGTATGTATATCTTATTCCAGTCCATTGTTCTTTATTCAAAAGTCTCCACTGTAACAGACAAGTGATGACTTTTATAACTTATCCAGTGTGTTCAGAACATGTGGGGACGGCCACGTGAAGTGAAATTTGGTTACAAAGCAATGAACTTTTTTTCTGTCAAAAAATAAATCCAGATGGCCGTCTGAAGAAGATAAATGCATCCTTTCCTCTCAATATCATTTACCAGAGTCCTTACTACGGTTTGTAACTCTGAATTGGCAGTTTCATGAATTTGCAATTTCATATCTCTGAATTTGCATTTTAGGGGGAAGTGTTCACACATTACTTTATGTACTACAAATTATATATGCCTGGAAAAATATTGTCAGGATACAAAATTAAAATATTGTCTGTGGTTATTTATTGTGATGAGATCATGGTTGATATTTATTTTCTTCTATGAAGTTGGCTGTATTTTCCAAATTTTATATAGTAAACATACATAACTTTTCAAACAAAATAATATTTTGAAAATGTGTGTAGCATTCTAATGCTTGTGAGCACAGTAAACACGGTAAGAAAAATAGCTCCCAGAAAAACTGGGACTAGTTTCCTGTCTTTACCACTAGTTCTATCACATTTACTCTCTGCAGAGTTAATGATTAGCTCTTTAGTTATCATCATAAGTTTCCAAGTCCACAAGTCTAAAAATTACATTAGAATGAAACACACAAGATTATCACCAAAATGATCCATTTATGTCCTATGATTTGATATGATTTTCCAGCCAGTTCCTGTCCCGTGCCCCGTGGGTTCAGTTAGATAATCAAGACCTATTCCGAGCTCACAGTTTTGCTCTGGATAACTGATTCACTACTTTAAGACTTTAAAAGCATGTCTCAGGCTTCACTATAAAACTGCCCACACTTTCCAAAAAGTGCCTACAGAGAACATAAGATGTACAAGTAAGGATCCCCTGCTTCATAAAACCTCTGGTTTTGATATGACACATATTTAGTTAATTAACCCTCAAAATTTTAATCATCTTTCTCCTTTATTTTCAACAAATGTTGCTGCTTTTCTCCTCTCTTCCTCTTTATTCTTCATTCTCTCTGTCTAGGTCTGTAGTCATGAAATCTGACTGCTTCAGAAAGAGAAACCCTAATTAATAGCAGCAAAGAAGTATATTTATAGATTATCCTGAATAAATTTCACTTTTGAAATATGCTATAAAATATTATTAACAGAAAGGATGCCTGATTTGAAATTACAGGACAAAATTAGATTTTTAAGCGAGTACATTAAAATTTGCTGAGTTCAAATATTTTTCAAAAAATATAGTTGATGCCAAAATTAGAGCAGATGCACTTAAGTATCTTTTATATAATATTTACCTTCCAAAATATATATTTCCATTAAATGTAAATATAGCACACATCCATTTCCTGTTAACGATTAACAGAATGGTGATGTCCACCCCCAAATACTTATCAGCAGGAAAATAAGCAGTCTTTTGTTATTTTTTTCCAAGGTTGGAGATGATTTCCTACCTTATTTTTCTACTCTTTAAAACCAAATCTTTTTCTAACACGATTTAAATTTTTTTTTCATGATGTGTGGGGTCATGTCACCGCTTTTAATTATCAAGCCACTCCATCGAATCCATCATCTATTTCCTTAAACAGTTTTCTCATAATTCAAGTTGGAGTGACTATTGGTCAAGAGTATAATATTTAGGTACCTCAAAACATCATGTTGTTACTTTTCAATCAGGGAAAATTCGTATTTTAAAAGCTCTCACATAAAAGAAGCATAATTAATTAAAGAAAAACTTCTGGAGAATTCACATCTTCAAGATTTAAATGTGTGCCTCCAGGAAGTCTAGGTATTTCAAGTCTGTAGATTGGCATTCTAAATTACCTTTTCAGATATTTATAGAAAGATATTTGGCTGGCTTTCCTTGCAATGAGAGCCATAAACTGGGTTGGAGATATGGTTTATAAAACCAAGTTACATTAGCAAAACATATAATTTTTACAGACTTAGCTATGCTTTGAGTCAGTTGATCACATTATTATTCTACTACCCAAAGTGAGTGATAGAAGTTAAAAATATTTTTGAACTACTAAACTATGGATAAATATTCTTACAATTTTCAATGGTAAGTTTAGAACTTCTGGGAAATCTGACCCAAAGAATAACATTTTCACCTTTTACTTTTCATATGTTCTTTCTGTAAGATTTTTCAGAATTAATCCCTTCCAAACACCAGTCAACAAGTCAAGAAACAATGTTTTGACATCTTTTACAAACAAAGCACTAATCATAAAAGAAGGGTATAAAAGTGTAATTCCCCTCAATGAGTTTAAAAGGTAGTTGAATAAATTAAAAGGAAATACAACTATATCTAATAATATAAGACACACACATGACCATTGCAATAAGAGATGCAGAAAGTACTGAATTTAGTGGGGTTTTTTTAATGGAAGGTTGGTACAAAAAAGTAATAGTTGTAGAGTTAGGTTGAGAATATTAAGAGTGAGAGACTAAGAAACTGAATTTCTAATTTGTTGCAAACAGGGAGTAACCAAAGGCTTTGAGGGTGAGATGAGCAGAGGACCGGGAATGTGCCTTATTCACGTCAGCCAGCCTTGTTGCTTAGCACAATATCTAGAAGATCAGTGTTTCTGAATAACAGGTGTTTAGTGGAAGAAGGTAAATGAACCTACAAAGCAGTGATGCAGAGACTTATTCTGGCTATGTGGGGACAGGGAAGGAGGATGACACAATAATGCGACGATCCAAGCACGAGGTAAAGGTGGACCACGGCACTAACAGGAGAGGGGAAGATGCAGGTGAAAAATCTCTCACAAAGGAAAACTGGCCAGGAAGGGTGACGGCTAGGAGAGGGAAGTGAGTGAGAATAATGTACAATCACAGACGTAAAACCCCTGTAACTGGAAAATGCTGATGCTACCGTCAGCGCGTGGTTTAGTGAAAAAGGCATAAGTTCTCTTTTACTCATGTGGAGTCCAAAGTGAGGCCATATCTTTCCTGAAGTTCAAGATGAAGCACTGCGATTAAAATTGTGACAAGAGACGATGGGACAGCCCCATGAGGGGTCTCTTGCTTGGAACTGTTTCCTCGCCTGGCTTCAAGAGAAGACGTTCAGTGCTGCCCTACACGTGACTCTACAGCCCAGGCAACTGGCCTTCTACAGTCTTCACACACCAAAAACTGAGCTTACCTTAGGGTCTGATATCTCACAACACGTTTCTTGAGCTATGAAGTTCGAGTTACAGTAGATTTGAAGTTGGTGAATTTCAACCTATTAAAAAATTAGTAATAAGATATATCATTAGTATTTTTCTTTTTGAAAATCACATTTAGGCATTTGAGAACGATGGTAATTTAACTGGAAAGAAAAAAAAGAAGCTAATATTTATACAAATAGATCACTGGCAGATATTTTGGGTTTTGTTTAATTTAGGATTCATGACTTTATGGACCCTTTAAGAAACAGAAATGGATTCGGCTGTTGAGATAAATCTATATGTAAAGGAAATCAAGTAACAGAGCAATTGCAGATCTCTGCTCCTTGTTTCAAACCATCAAAAAGAAGTATTTAATTAAAGAGAGGTAATGCACTACGATAAGAAGAAAAAAAAGGTATTTAGTTTTTATCTACTTTTCATGGATACTGTCTAATACCTAAGGATTTTATGTTACATGGCATACTCTTGAGCATGACTCACAGTATTTTTACAAAAAAAATTGATTCTTCTATTTGCTCAGCAAATCCACATTTGTTGGCATTCAGACATGAAATTAAAAGTAGTTTCAGGAAAGTACAATCATGTCTTCAAGTGCAAGATCAAACAACCACATCAGAGAAAGTAAATGGTACAGACTATTGACAAAATTTCAATATGACAGATGCACAGAGAGGCTGCTTCAAACTAGTTTGTGGTTGTAAATTTAATAATTTAATTAATAATCTTATGATGATTTGACATATAACATAGGTCAGGAACAACCTCTTTCCTTCCCCTTCTCCCCGCCTTTCTCTCTCTTTTTCTCTCTCTCCTCTTTCCCCATCTTTCTCTGTCTCCTAATGTAACAGAGCTAGATTATGTATTTCTTTGAGGTCAGTAAGTACTTTCTATAGTAAGACCCAACTATAATATAATAATCCTATGATAATAGAAAGCAGATATCTGAGGTTAGCTCTGAATCTCTAACCCAACACCAACAAAGCAAGAAAGGAGGGGAAAAGCTGTAACTATTACTCTACACTGAGATGAACAAAATCAAGTCAGCTCACAGAAAGCATTAAGAATTCCAGACATCTTCTGGATTCACGAACAGCCTAAGATTTGCAGCCAATGCAAAATTCTGAGATGAAATGAAACTTAATGATTTCTCTTCTATAACTTTTTGCAAGGTTACTGAAGTAAACTTTTATTTATGAAGTTTAAATACACTGTCTTACAGTCTAATGAAACACCAGGCAGTAACATACCCATTATGTAGAATGAAGAATGTAGAGACTCCAATTAATTAATACTCTCCTTAACTAAAACTAATTTATCATCAACACTGTTATCCACATAGTCAATAAATACTGAGATTCTATTATGTACCATCCACTGGGCTAGGGCCTTCATATGAATTATTTTACTTAACTGAAGATAGATGATCAATTTTTCATGGATTAGAACCTAATAAAGTACCCATGACACTGAAACTACAATCAGCCTAGTTTAATTATGCTTTTTTAATTCATTAGTTGCTTTAGGATCCTTCACTGACATAGTGCTTTAGAATGAGAATGCACTGGCCCTGTCACACAGAATTTTTTTGTTTAAAAAAAAAATTCTTTTATCAGTTTTGTCAACTATTTCTCTGCACGAAAGCATACGGGTAGGATATGCAAAATAAAACCTAATCATTAGAAGGGTTTTTTTTGATAACTTACGTTCTGAATAAACAAAACATTTTCACGTTACAACAGATCTTATAAATCACAGAGCTTGTATGGAGATAATAAAAATATTAGTTTACTTAGAGTTTTAGTAGGACCAAGAATCTTTAAAAAATAAAATACGTATTTTTTTTGTTTGTTTAACTTAAACAGTGACACTTCTAAAAGCTCCATCATCGTGACATGGCTTTAATATTATTTCTTAAGTGAACTAAGATTCCACATTAAACTATGAAAGTGTTGTAAGACTATGATTTTCCCATTGTGGCTTTTCATCAGGACTCACAGTGATATTCTTCAGCCTCAGGTTGTTCCCTTGAGTAAAAAGTTAATTAGACACAGGACACAACACTCAACCTTGAGACGGGAGCTTGGAGTCAGGACCCCACTCTTGGAATAACTTGCTCCTCTCTCATTGTCATCTCTCCCTCAAAGGTTATGAATTTATCTTAATCCTCATGTTCTTTGGTTCTTGCCATTCCCCGCTTTGCCCTCGCTAGTCCTGCAGGAGATCAGATTCCAGTCAACACCAGGGCTCCAGCAAGGGCTACCGCCACCCCTACTCCTGTTACTAGAATCCCCTGAAGATCACTTCCCGTCTACCTACACTCCACCCACTGCTGGAAGTCACACGTCTGAGGTTTAGCTGCTGGACTCCACTTCCTCCCTTGACTCTGGAGAGACCTTTCTGAAAGGTCTGTCTAGGACTGTTGTCACTACAATTAATGCTGTGATTATTATTGGCAGCCACCATTTACTGACACATACTTGATCCATCTTTCTGACACAGACTGAGCCTTTAAGATCTTTGAGAGAGGAGATTTTGTTGTTGTTTTCCGCTCTTTTATGCCAGGTTGAACGGCATGTCTGGCCCTAAATAAATAAATGAATACACAGAAAACCGACCACATACTATGCACTATGGCACATACGCTATGCAATTATAACTAACGAGTCTACCAATATTATTTTATAATTTAGGATACCAAGACTCAGATAAATTAAGAGTGAGCAAGATAAATTAGCAGATCATAAGAATTAAGTGGATGAGCTAGGATTTACAATCACATCTGTCTGATCCCCAAGCAAGCTCACTCTCCCTGATGCCATGATGTCTTATGTCCGGAACTGGCTTCTCCTGCTCTGGGGTATCTTGATAATCATCACTGAACCCTCGTTATGACACTTTCACTGATTTGTTCATTGTGTCTAAGAGAAGACAGTTTAAAAATAATATTTTATTGGAGATATATATATATATACACACACACACATATATATAATATCTATCTATCTATCTATCCATCTGTCATCTATCTCTGATGCCTTCCACAGGGGCCTTTAGAAATAATATGCTGGCTAAACATGTATGTGCACAGAACCGTACTTTTGAAACAAAATTGAACTGTTAAGGGCTTTGCATTAACAATTCCTATTGGTGTCCTGCATTCAGATTATTTTTATGGGTTTTCCCATCATTCCACCCATAAGAAAATGTGAAGTCATCAAATTTAGATATATCCCCCTTTTTAAAGATTATAGGCCTTTGGGAAATTGATAATAAATCTGTACCATGTGAGCATAAATATAACTTTTAAAGAAACTTTTCATCTGAAAGGGTTTTACTAGACAATTGTTCTCATCCAATGACCTACTGTTGTGTTTCAGTCCAACAGAACTCTAAAGAAACATTATAAGCTAATGAAAAATAGTCTGCAGTACAAACATTTGTGATTCTGAGGATGAAAAAATAGCCTATTGTTCTTGAATGAAAACACCAGATGATCTGGAACCGTTTAACTTAAATTTCATCTTTTTCCAGTCCTTTCTATTCAAGACATAGGAACTTAGACCAAGCTTACTTTTGTATAATATTTTCAATTTTTACTAAGAGTTAATTTTAATAACCTTATTTTTTAAGGCATAACCTAGTTCTTTTAAATTCACAGGCTACAGAAAAATGGGTGAAAATAGATAGAAAATAATATATGTAAAAATATAGTTGGAGGGCTTCCCTGGTGGCACAGTGGTTGAGAGTCCGCCTGCCGATGCAGGGGACATGGCTTCGCGCCCCGGTCTGGGAAGATCCCACATGTCGCGGAGCAGCTGGGCCCGTGAGCCATGGCTGCTGAGCCTGCGTGTACGGAGCCTGTGCTCCGCAACGGAAGAGGCCACAACAGTGAGAGGCCCGCGTATCACACACACACACACACACACACACACACACACATACACACACACACAAAAATATATATATATATATAGTTGGAAATACATAGCTATGCTTCACACATCTGATAGCAAATTAATTTAAACAGTGTTGAGAAGGGAATATCTTATACAGTTATTAAAGGAAAAAGGTTTTAATAAGATATTTTATTTTAATTTATAAATGTTACTAGCTAACAACTCACGTCCACAGGCCTGCCATCTGAAGCTCGGGTTGCAATAACAGTCCTTCCGTGGAAGTCCACAGTGCCCTTTCCATCAATATGCCGGCTTGCAACTAAGTTACAGTCTGTATAGACTGAAATGGCCTGGGATTGTATACTGAAGCCAAGTTTATGCCACTGACGATCAAACAAAGGACGGAGTTCTCGATTTTTAAAAACGTAGTTCAACACATCTCCCTCCACAGCTGGGAACATAAATTCCACCATCTTCTTTCCACCATCAACTGCTATAGAAACCTGCAAAAATGCAAATGATCTTTAAATGTTTGAAATTCAGTTTTAAAAACTATTAAAGCACACAAATCAAAACTCAAGGTGCTACCATAGGACCAGCAATCCCACTACAGGGCATATACCCTGAGAAAAGCATAAGTCAAAAAGAGACATGCACCACAATGTTCACTGCAGCACTATTTACAACAGCCAGGAAATGGAAGCAACCTAAATGCCCATCGACAGATGAATGGAAAAAGAAGATGTGGTACATATATACAATGGAATATTACTCATCCATAAAAACGAACAAAACTGGGTCATTTGTAGTGAGGTGGATGAACCTAAAGTCTGTCATACAGAGTGAAGTAAGTCAGAAAGAGAAAAACAAATATCGAATATTAACGCATATATATGGAATCTAGAAAAATGGTACAGATGATCCTATTTGCAGGGCAGGAAAGGAGACACAGACGTAGAGAACGAACTTGTGGACACACGGGGGAAGTGGAGGGTGGGACAAATTGAGAGAGTAGCATTGACATATATACACTACCATGTGTAAAATAGATAGCTGGCGGGAAGCAGGTGCATAGCACAGGGAGCTCAGCTCGGTGCTTTGTGACCACCTAGAGGGATGGGATAGGGAGGGTGGGATGGAGGCTTAAGAGGGAGGAGATATGGGGATATATGTATACGAATAGCTGATTCACTTTGTTGTACAGCAGAAACTAACACAACACTGTAAAGCAATTATACTCCAATAAAAAAATAAAATAATTGAAAAAAAACTCAAGCTGCATGTTAGTAGAACTGAGGTACTCAGTAAAATATTTTAGATGATACTTGTGTCCGTTGGATTTGTTAACATATAAGAACAGCAGGGCTTCCCTGGTGGTGCAGTGGTTGAGAGTCCGCCTGCCGATGCAGGGGACACGGGTTTGTGCCCCGGTCTGGGAAGATCCCACATGCCGCGGAGCGGCTGGGTCCATGAGCCATGGCTGCTGGGCCTGCGCGTCCAGAGCCTGTGCTCCGCAATGGGAGAGGCCACAACAGTGAGAGGCCCGCGTACCGCAAAAAAAAAAAAAAAAAAAAAAAGAACAGCAAACAACCGCTACAAAAATGGTTTAAATATGGGATATCTGGTGAATGTAATATGCTCCTTTCTTGAGAGGACATCTAGGAGTGTGTGTGTGTGTGCGTATGTGCATATGTGTGTGTGTGTGTATCTAAGTATACACATAATTCTGTATGAGTGATTCAAGAATTAAATGTTACTAATTTAAAAACAATAAGAAATAATCACTTCTCTTAGCATGGAAACTGAGATCAACTTCTTTAACTTTTGATGCTTTGCATGGTGCAAAGAAAATACATTTTCATAGAGAACATGTTCTTTCTGTTCAAGTCATATTTCCATCTTAATACTGTGACTATATAATAACATATTAAAAGACCAGTGAAATGAAAAACATTTCAATGGATATGTATGGAAATAAACACAGATGGATGGTGCCCATAAGAAATTGTGATGTTTACCTCCCCTCCCTGGAGCACCTGCGTCCCCTCCTTTCTGCCCAAATGCCACATCTCCCACAAGTATTCCTAGACCCCTGCTCTTCTCATATCCCATCTGGGGGAGCCGTCCTTTCCATGCTCGCACAGTCCCCACCCAACTCCAAGCTGTCCTCGGCCACCACACTTGTCACCTTGTGGTCATGCTCCAATAGGCTGTTCTCATACATGGCATCCCCAGACCTATGTGCTCCCTGAGAAAAGGAATCACGCTTTGCCAGTCTCTTATCTTTGTCACTAACTAGCATCTAGCATGTGTTCAATTATTTTTATTGATGGAATCAATATTTGTATCTCATGTCTTAATTTACTAAGGATTTTCAGAGGAAACAATGAACAGCTTTAAAATGATGTATAATATCAGAAATAATAGGAAATGAAGAAGTCGTCAGTGAGTGGTCTTGGTGTCAATGAAGCAGTTGTAAACGAAGGGTAGTTAGAGTGTCTTCAGACAAAAATAGGAATCTAGTAGAAAAAAACAAACAGAACAACAAAACAAAAACAGAAAACAAACTAATCTTGCCTCATCCACCAGGCTCTCCCATTACAAATCTCAGCAAGATCCTTCTGACTCTGAGAATACTGGCATTTCCCTGTGGATGATTCCACTAAACGACAGAATAGTCGTGCATGAGGTCTGCTCCCAAATTTATGCCCACAGATCCAAGATTCACCTGGCCTAACCCCACCAGAGGCCACAGATCAGTACATCTCTCTGGTTCCTTACCTGTGGCATATTCTGCTGGTTTAAAACCTGCCACAGAAACCACCGTTCCTTTTTGGTGCTTCTTCGTACCCGAAACATGGCTGCTATGGCGAACTCCTCAGGAAGGCCTTTGGGAAACACCTTACTGTGGGAGAAAAACAAAGAACCATTGTGGGAAAACTGAAGGCAAGGACACCAAATCTCGGTATGAAGGTCTCTGCAACACAACATCTTAGTCACATTTTCTCAATGAATTTAGAATTCATTTTGCATGTTTACAGCATTCTACCAAATGCATACATGGACGCATCCACGTCTACTTTTACCTATGGATTTTGTATCCTTGTTCTTTCCCTTTTAAAAAATTTCCCGGGAAGGTGTTGTTAAAGCTTGAGGTGTGTAAAAGCGAGTGACTATAGTACTATGGGGCGATATTCATTTACTGAACAAGATGTTCCAACAGAATCTCAGAATTCACTGCAGTCTGGCACACAGTAGACATTTATAAAGGAAATAAATAGTACCCCTAGGCTTTATCGGTAGACAGAAGTACAGAGCATTTCAAAGAACACTGCTAGCAATTAAATGTATACTTCCAAAGGACTTTTGTCATATTAAACCCTTGCAAAATGAACTCCTAATTCTGATTTCCTAGTAGGTATCAATTTAGGACTGAAACTAAATATAATAAAGACATTTTAGCTTATTTTTTATTCTTACAGAAAATAAGTAAGTTATTTCTAGGTAGCAGAGAGAAGCCTAAAGACAGTCCAAATATGCTTCTGTCTCAACCTTGTTTCAAAATACTGGTCTCACTGGATCCATGAAGAAACTTGGGGAGAAAAATTCACCATGAACATAAATCATATTTAGACTTTCATTGGAAAACATGGAGAGATACATTCCTCCAAGTTGACTTTTAAAGTTATCTGCATTGTATGTAAAAACTCTGCAAGGCAGGAATCTTGCTTTTCTTTTAAAGAATCATGAGGAGTAGTAGGTAAGAATTCTCTTAAGGATTAACATAGCCAGAACTTGTTTATATAAATAAAACATCATACACTGAGATGGTTAACTACTCACTGGGAATATCACACCAAGGTCCACTGAAACTGACAGCCAGACTCATGGAGAATTCTGAAACTTTGGTTTTACACTTTGTGTTAGAGAAAAAGTCACAAGTGGTAGGGAAATCAGGAACAAATATGAAAAAAAAAAAAAAGCTATGCTGGCCTAAAGTTCTCAGTTGGTTAAACTCACGCGCGCGCGCACACACACACACACACACACACACTCTTACGTATATAGTGTACAAATGTAGGTATATGTACATAAGCATACCTCAGGGATATTGCAGGTTTGGGGCCAGCTCACTGGAATAAAGTGAATATCACAATAAAGTGAGTCACGGGCTTCCCTGGTGGTGCAGTAGTTAAGAATCTGCCTGCCAATGCAGGGGACACGGGTTCGTGCCCCGGTCTGGGAAGATCCCACATGCCGCGGAGCGGCTGGGCCCATGAGCCATGGCCGCTGAGCCTGCGCATCCGGAGCCTCTGCTCTGCAAACGGGAGAGGCCACCACAGTGAGAGGCCCACGTACAGCAAAAAAAAAGTGAGTCACACGAATTTTTTGCTTTTCCCGTGTGTGTAAAAGTTGTGTTTACACTATGCTGTACTCTATTCCATGTGCAACAGCATTATATCTAAAAACGTACATACCTTAATTTTTAAAATGCTTTACTGCTAAAAAGAAATATGCTAACCACCATCTGACAACCCAGGGTTGCCACAAACCTTCAATTTGTAAAAAATCCAGTATCTATGAAGTACAATAAAGTGAAACACAATAAAAGGAGGTCTGTCTCTAAATATATATAAACTCTAGTTTTACCTTCTTCACTAACCTGCTTACCCCCAGTCCGGAGGCTTTCTGGCTCTCAGCTCTTGTCTGGCTGGCTGAAGAAAGAGGAGGCAACCTGGGGCCTCATTTTCATCTCACTCACACTCACACACACACACACACACACACACACCCCTCTCCAGCCTCCACAGAGGCTAGCTGGTGCCTCCCCGGGATAAGCCTCTCCCGTGCCCGGGGAGGTACCCCACCCCACGTGCCAGCAGCACCCCGCCCTGTGGTTCCGAGGTTCTAACTTCCTCCTCTCTGCTGCCTGTGACCCCACTGCTTCCCGTCTTCTAAGAATGTATTATGTCTGTCTCTGTGGCTTCATCTCCCACTCTACAGTCATTTTTGCACGTTAGAGGATAAAACTCTATTTCCATCTCCCATCTCTCCCTCACCTATGCCCCTCTTATCTCGGTTTACAAATGTATGCATATCTTCACCCTCTCCCCTGCCGTAAAACAGACAAAACTCCCTCCATCCTCGATACAGCATTATATTACCCTTCCAGGTATCCACCAAGTTTCTTAAATGAAGACTCTGAACGTCACACTGTCACAGCCCTCCGCCCTGAGCCTTCCTGCATTCTAAAAGCAATCCCGTGGGCTCTCGCGAGGATGCTCATGGTGCGCCCCTCTTCCCGAGGCAGGCCATCACGTGAGCGGTCTCGCCCAATCGGTGAGGGGGCCTGGGGCGGGGTGGGGGAGCCGCGGTTCCCTCCAGAAAGGAGCGCGCCGCTGAGGGCAGGAGGGGGAGCCACAGCGGCCGCCCAAGGGGAGATTGAGACGCCACAGGGCAATGTTGGAGGAGCCCGGACAGCGGCCACAGCCACGATGGCAAATACAGCCTAGCTTACCCAGTCAAAAAGTTAATACAAGAACTGGATGGGCTTATCTTCAAATGGGATTTCCACCCATAATGAATAACTGCGGGATTTGTACTGGGGATGGCGAGCAGATCAGAAAATGTGTCCTTCGGAATTCAGGCAATATCCCTGCTGTGGAAGCTTGTCAGTTTTTTTTGGCTTTTGCTTTTAATTAGGATGTTGGGAAATAATGAAATAATGAAAAGATAACCCCTTTTTAAACTTCAGGAATTCCCCCCTCCCCCTCCGCCAAGCACTGCAAGGTCCATCATTTCTGGAGCATCTGGAATGTTGAAGTACCGACGGTCATTCTTCACCCTCGCCCTAAAAAGACGGCCTCCCTCTCTTTCGGTTTCCGCCCTTCACGCGCCTGAATCTCGTCCCGAGGGAGAAAACCCACGACACCAGGGGCTCTCAGAGCACGCCTGCACCGAGACAAGTCCCCGAGTTCGGAACCCCTTTGGACCACTTGGAGGAAGACTGTCATATGGGTTCCAATGCAGATTTTAGGCCGAAACTTGGTGACGGGAAGGGCCCCTTGGGTACCTCTTGAAGAAGGCGAGTGGAAACCACTATGGGCCAGGCCATGGTCATCATCGCCTGGACGGACGGCTCGAGTGACCCACCAGGCGGCACGGTGGCTACAATGAACTGAATTCTGCAGGAGGATGTAACCGGGTCACAGAAGAGGCCGGAGGAGACGGGGCAGCTGGAGGCCGGTCGGAAGGCCGAGCTGGTGAGTCTTGGGGAGGCCCTTTCGGAGGCTCTGTGCCGAACGAGGAGGGGGCACTGAGCCCGGGCCACAGACAGGCGTGGACGTGCGGGGCTGCCCGGGTTGACGGGGGCGGAGACCGTGCTCACAGTGGACAGGCCTCAGCGGGGCCGGCATCCTGTCCAAAGGACGGTGCCTGTGGTCGCCCTGCAGGATCTCCTGGGGCCAAACCCAGGCCTGTCTCCTCCTGCCACACCTCCGGGCCAGGCCGGGCCATCCACCAGTGGGACACAGGGTCCAGCCCCAGAGAACTGTGTCCCGGGCCACTGTTCCTGGTGTACAGCCCCAGAGGACTGTGTCCCGGGCCACTGTCCCCGGAGTCCAGCCCCAGAGGACTGTGTCCTGAGCCACTGTCTCCGAGCTCGTCCTCCCCAACCTGTGCTCCTGCACGGCCCCTCCTGCCTCCATGCCATCCCAGGGGGAGTATCTCCCCAGAACCAGTGCTGCTGGAATCCAGAGGCCTCTGCATCCTGCCCTTCACTCCTCACCCAGGGACACCATCACCCAGATGGCTAATGGCGAGTGAGTTGGGCTGCAGGCCAGGTCCTGTGACTTCCGATGCAGAATTCTTTCCAATATGGAAAGCCGTTAGGGGTATTCAGTCCCATGTACCCTGTGATTTGCTGGTGGTTCCGTGAAGTTCCGGTGTGTCACTGCCGCCCTGGTAGCCTTGTTCACGCCTACTTAACAGTGCTGGTCACCTTAGCCACGTAGTGACTATTGGGTGTCAGTGGGTGGCTGGAACCCTTGGGTCAGCCTTCAGCTCCCTGCCCACCTCCTGTTCCAACAGACACTCCAGGGACGTCACTGGTAAGCAGTAAGGTTGGTGAAGAGACCCCCCCCAGACAGTGGGAAGAATAAAAGGGGGCACTCTGTAGGGTCAGCTCTGGTCAGCGTGGCCGCCAGACTTAAAGACCTCACCCAGAGTGAGGAGGACAGGAGAGACCTGGCACCATGTTTAAGAACCCAGAAGGGTGACTTTGGAAAGGTCTGTTTTTGTTATGGGCTTCTGATCAGCACAAAGACAGATGTCTCTGTGCTCATCTGTTATTAAGGTCCTGTGGGTAAAACTGGTAAGAGCAGTCAAAATAAAATAATGTAAAATGAAATGAAATAATATAAAATGTAAAGTAAAATAAAATAAAAGTATTCCCAATCACCTAATCCCCTGGCCTCTTCTAAATCCTCACTCCCCTTGGTCCTTCTGAAGGTTTTAACACTGAAGACATCCTGTCTTCATTGATATAAACCAAGAGTCACAACCACATGGCTCTAGGGCCCAGCCAGGAAACTGGACTGTAAGCTTCCTAAGGTTCTTTGTCTATCCTATTCACCAGCATCTAGAGCAGTGCCCGCACAAGGTAGGCACTCAATAAATATTATTAAAGGAATCAATTAATGAGCTGAATTCGGATGTAAGAAGTCTGTAAACCAAAAGAAAAATAACATATGTTCCCATCTAAGTCTAGCCTTTAGTTTTAGTTTTTCTGTCTTGGATAGAAATGTGCATGTAAGAAATTTTCACTTTCCTCTTAAGAATTCTTCAGTAAAAACAAATAGAGCAAGTGAGTTAATAACAGCACTGTTACCCCTTCTCATGTAGAGG